GCTCCTGCTGAACCAATCCCTGGATGCAGCAGGAATTTTCCACCATTGCCCAAAAAAGATAAGAAAAATAATAAAGTTGCTCCTCAAACTTCTCAAAAGAAATCCAAGTCCGAGCGAGGTTTGCTAGCTTTTTCGGACATTGTGGAATTCATTTTAAATATGTTCAACATACAAGACCCTCTTAGAAGCTTAGTTTCTGCCTTGCTTCCAACATTAGAATCATATCTTAAGCAATTGACTGTTTCATGGCCCCTCCTTGCATCAATCATATCTTTCGATGGATAATTCGTCGAACGAGGTCGAAGATATGATCACTGTGCTACAGTGGAACTGCCGTAGTCTAGTGCCTAAACTAGACTCGTTCAAATTTTTACTTCACAATTCTGACTGTGATATATTTGCTCTCTGTGAAACATGGCTTTCTTCCGATAAAGAACTCAACTTCCACGATTTTAACATTATACGCCTGGATAGAAACGATTCTTATGGAGGAGTACTTTTAGGGATCAAAAAGTGCTACCCTTTCTACAAAATTCCCCTTCCTGCTCTATCCGGCGTCGAAATCGTTGCTTGCCAAATAAATGTGAAGAACAAAGATCTTTGCATAGCTTCAGTATACGTTCCACCAAGAACCTCCATTAGCCGTAGTCAACTCTGGAATCTAGTTTCGATTCTTCCATCCCCAGTATTAATTCTGGGTGATATGAACTCCCATGGTACTGGGTGGGGCGATCTATATGACGACAATAGAGCGGCTATTTTTTACGATTTATGCGACGATTTCAACTTGACTATTTTGAACACTGGTGAAGCGACACGTATAGCAAAACCTCCGGCTCGAGAAAGCCGACTCGACATATCTTTGTGTTCAAGATCGCTATCATTGGATTGTCTGTGGAAGGTTATCAATGATCCTAATGGTAGCGATCATTTGCCAATCATCATTTCAATTAAGTGTGCCCCTCACTCTGCAGAACCATCTCGAGTTCTATTTGATCTTACAAGGAACATAGATTGGCATAAATATGCAACGGCGGTGACAATCGGTGCCGAATCAATAGATACGCTCCACCATTGGAAGAATATCGATTCCTCGCCGATTTGATTTACAAAAGTACACTGGAAGCACAAAAAAGAAAAGTTCCAAGTGCGCCTTTCAAAAGGAGACCAGCCACACCTGGATGGGACGAAAAGCTTTGAAAGCATCAGATTTTTCTACATACAATTTGTGCATTCTAAATTGTATGTAGAAAAATCTGATGCTTTCAAAGCTTTTCGTAACGGCGCCGGTGGTGTAGTGGTAAGCGTGATTACCTCTCACCCCAGCAGGCCTGGGTTCAATACCAGTCGGCGCCGCCGGGATGTTCTGAGGCATAACATCTCTGATCACGCCTTCCTTCGGATGGGAAGTAAAGCCGTTGGTCCCCGGTTCATGAGTTGATGGGTCGATAGGTAGGGTCCAGGTGTGGGAGCTGCCTTCCTGGCACGTCGGTAGCATTGGTGCTCAGCACGGAAAACAAGATCGACGGAAAAAAACAAACCTTACAAAAAAAAAAAAAGCTTTTCGTAGACACAAAACCTCCACATACTTCGAGGAATATTCAAAGCTTGAAACAAAGCTGAAACAATTAATCAAAGCAAAAAAACGCGGTTATTGGCACAATTTCGTCGAGGGACTCTCACGAGAAACCTCAATGACCACCTTATGGAGGGTGGCTCGTAACATGCGTAACCGCTCATCTTCTAATGAGAGTGAAGAATACTCCAACCGATGGATATTCGATTTCGCTAAAAAGGTCTGTCCGGACTCAGTTCCAGCACAACACATTCTTCGACAAGCGTCTCCGAGCGGCAGCTCTCTGGATAGATCATTCACAATGCTGGAAGTCTCTATGGCTCTTCTTTCATCGAACAACTCCTCACCGGGAAGCGATATGATTAAATTCAATCTTCTGAAAAATCTCCCAGATATCGCTAAAAGACGCTTGCTAGACTTATTCAATTCCTTACTAAAAAACAACATTATACCGCCTGAATGGAGACAGGTCAAAGTAATAGCCATTCGACAACCTGGCAAACCAGCGTCTGACCATAACTCATACCGTCCGATTGCTATGCTTTCGTGCATTAGGAAATTGTTGGAGAAAATGATCCTTCGGAGACTCGATCAGTGGGTCGAAACAAATAACTTGCTATCAAATACACAGTTTGGGTTCCGCAAGAGCAAAAGAACAAACGATTGTCTAGCGCTGCTTTCCACAGATATTCAACTGGCCTTTGCGCACAAGGAAAAATTGGCTTCAGTATTCTTGGACATTAAGGGGCTTTTGATTCAGTTTCCATTGAAATTCTGTCAGACAATCTGCACAGATGTGGACAAGACTTAGATAACTTGTCTTCTTGGGCTAGGAATCTAGGGATCGAATTCTCGCCGCAGAAAACTGAACTGGTAGTGTATACTCGAAAGCGGTACCCAGCCCAAATGCATCTTATTCTTTTGGGCAGAAACATTACTCAATCATTGTCTTTCAACTACCTTGGAGTCTGGTTTGATTCAAAGTGCACTTGGAATACCCATATTACGTATTTGAAGCAAAAATGTCAGCAGATGATCAACTTTCTCCGTTCAATTTGGGCACATGGTGGGGTTCTCTCGGCAAGAAAATGTCACCTAATAAAATTGGAACGAATTCAATACCGTTGTCTGCGTATTGCTCTTGACTGTATGCACTCAACGCATAACATGAGTCTCGAGGTTCTGGCAGGAGTAACACCCCTCCCTTACCGTTTCTGGGAGCTCTCTCTCAGAATACTAATCAAATGCGGAGTGACGAACACACTTATAATTGCAAATTTTGAAGAAATTCTTGGGCTGAACCTCGGGCTGAACACACAATCTCGATTTATGAGAATCTACCACCACTACATATTGTCGGATATGTGTCTACCTTGTTATACTCCAGACCGTGCTTACTTCACCAATCGCAGTTCCTCGATTGAATATGATCTGTCCATTAAACAAATGATTAACGGGATTCCAGATCAACTTCGAACTATTATTATCCCGCGTATTTTTACTGAAAAGTACCAACACGTCAATTTCGTAAACAGATATTTTAAAGACGGGTCTCGTCTCAGTGGATCCACTGGCTTCGGTGTCTTCAATGAAAACTCTAGCGCCTTCCGCAAACTCCAGGAACCTTATTCCGTTTTTGTTGCTGAGCTGGCAGCAATCAACTTCGCATTGGGGATGATTTTCAACATGCCCGCAGACCATTACTTCATCTTCTCGGATAGTCTCAGTTCGATTGAGGCTATTCGGTCGATGAAACCAAGTAGGCACTCATCTTATTTCCTTTCAAAGGTAAGGGAGCAGATGAGTGTGCTGGTCGAAAAATCATATATGATTACCTTTGTATGGGTCCCCTCACATTGCTCAATCCCAGGCAATGAGAAGGCGGACTCTCTCGCAAAGGTGGACGCGCAGGAAGGCGAATTTTATGACAGGCAAATTTTACACGATGAATTTTACCATTTAGTGCGTCAGAGTACCCTTTCGAGTTGGCAAACCGATTGGGACAATGGAAATCTTGGACGGTGGTTACATTCAATTATTCCTAATGTTTCTTCGAGAGTGTGGTTTAAAGGCTTGGACTTAAGTCGTGACTTCATTCGCGTGATGAGTAGACTTATGTCCAACCACTACTCGCTAGATGCTCATCTCAATAGAATAAACCTCGTAGACAGCAACATCTGTCGGTGTGGAAACGGTTACGATGACATCGATCACGCAGTTTGGCAATGTACGGATAATGACGCCGCCAGAAAGCAACTTTTAAATACCCTTGAGGCCCAAGGAAGACAACCCTATGTTCCTATCAGAAACGTGTTGGGAACTCGCGATATCTGCTATATGCAGTCGGTTTATGTGTTTCTTCAAATGTCCAGTATAAGAATTTAATTCCTTTGTCTTTTGTCTCTCTTTAATAGTTTTTGTTTGTCTTGTCCCCCCGTCTCGATGAGTCTCATCGTCGCCCACTGGTCACCATAGCCGGTCGAACTCCAGACGAAACTAGAACCGCACTACCATTCATACTGGCGACAACGCTCTGATGAGACAACGAAACCTTACCTCCAAACTCCTCCCCTGATCCTATCCTTCGACAATGTACCTCTCTAACCTTGAGTAAGCCGCGAGTATTCGGCCCAACTCCTACTAAACATATAATTTAGTGAATTTTGTTACAAACAAAGAACAAGGAACTATCGGCTCCGTAAAGCTAACGCCATTGAGCCTCCCAAATAAACGAACTAGTTAAAAAAAAGTATTTGTTCAAGTCCATAGTTTTTCATCAGTTTTGACCGCAAAATGAGAACCGAGTGTACTGTCCAATATTGAATTGATTCGGTCATCGAAGTTTTGAACTTTAAAGCTGAAAGTCGTCACTTTTTGTTTACCTTCACAGGAAAATACAGTTTGTCATATTTGAAGGTACAAATCTTCTCTGTACCTATATTCTTTTTCGTTTTGAATCATGTCGTGAGCCTATGGGTTCTGCAGTATGATAACGGAAATGTGGTGAATTGCTTCTTTAACCTGCCTTGTCCTTTTAACAGATGTGAACATTCGTTTGTTCTTATGGCAAGCTACTTGGTAACGTGTTGTTTTATGTACTTTACGACTACCCAGTAGGTTCTAGAACAGTATGCTTCAGGATCCCACAAAGATACGATAGATTGTCAGCAAGAGTTTTAACGTCAATGGAAGGATTAGAAATTTCTAAATGAAATGAAATGAGACGATAAAATATCCAAGTATTTTTTTACCCATTAGTGGGTAGAAAATATACTCATTATGTAACCATGAACGTGTCACCCTTCAAGTGCGCGGTATTAGACACAAGCGTATATTTAAACGTTACACTTTTTATTATTTTTTAGGTTGTAAAAATTGCAAATCAAACTTTTCTGGCAAATTGTATACAGTATACAATCATATGACGCTTAAAGAAACATAAATAACTGCACATTTATTGTTTGCTAACTGATTTAAACATGAAGCGTTCTTAACCTCACGGTTATAGAGCATGTCACGGTACTTAAATATGTTGTATTCCTAAACATTTGGTTGATAAAAATTCTTTGTGGTAAAATAAAATTCTCTGAAGATTCCGGGTTTCCCATGTTGAACACATTCAGAACAAAAAACAAACTATTTTAAACATCTAAATCAACCAATTACCGACTGAAACAATTACCTGTATCAGAAACAACAGCATCAACATCAAGGTACGAAGATCAGTTGCTGGAAGAGTGGTTAGAGGAGGATAGAGGGAAATGCAAAAAAGAATCCAGTTATTTATTAAAATTTATTCTCCTGCTGATATACATTAATTACACTGAGGTTTTGAACCTGCGCATTCAACAACTCTGGCGAGAAGGCAGTCCATCAAATCGAATGTGTTCAATGCTTGTGTGAGCATTTCCAGCTTTTTATCCTTGCTCAATTCAGGGAATTGCTCTCCATTTAGAACCCCGATGGTAAGGTCAAAATCCGGCTTTTGGATGTCTACAGAGTCTTGCTCTACAACAGATCGTTCTTGCTTGAAATGAGCTCTTGCTAAATCGATAGATTTCCTCAAAGGTTTCAAAAAGCTGTCTTCGATTTCTTCAATACAGTCCCATATTGACGTTTGGTTGTTTTTATCACGAATCAGAAGAAATCTCAAGATGTTGAGGCCAGATATCACAGTATCCGCATTTTCAACGAGGTCTGTTTCGATTCCCTTATTCAGAACGCAGATTTCCTTCAGCAGTAAATGCTTAAATGGTGCTCCAACGTACCATTCACTGGAAATGCCATTAGTTAGTTCCTTGTGTATCAGGTCTTTGTAAATTGTTGCAACGTATGAGTGAAGTCCACTGTGTTCTATCGACTGAAAGAGGTTTGCAATCACCAAATATCTGCCTTTTGGGTCAAATTGGTAGATATAATCCCGAAGGAGAAATGTGCCTTCCTTACGGTTTCTTTCGATAGACGAGTAAACAATCAATTTTGACAAGGCTTTGCAGAACTTTTGATGAATTGCAACATCTAAATTTTCGGAGGACAGCTTTTCAGCACCCATAATTCTCAGCAATTGTTTAGCCAACAAGATGCCTTTGTAATGTACAACAGTTTGATCATGGCCCATTAATTCAGTACAATAATATAAGCACATTTCGAAGACATAATGACGCGAGTAGACAGTTGGAGCAGTATGCGGTAGAAGATCTTCTCCGATTAGCAAATAATGGTACATTCCCAAGGAGAGCAGAGGGCATTTCTCTTCATTCATGAAGATATTCAGTGATGTTTCTTCGAAGACACCTTCCGATTGACGGCGTTTTTTCGGTGGCCAACGCAATCGTCTTTCACCATATTGCAATAGCCGATAGGGATCACCAAGTAATTTAGATAACGCTGATGCCAATTCTTCCGCAACTTGCCGGCTATACGTCTTAAAACCTTTGAATAAAACATGATTAGGTGCCTATTTGGTATTCATAATTTACCGAAATCTCTCACCTGCTTTGGCAAGTATACTATCCTCATATACGCGCGACGTTGGGTGATGAAGATTTAAGTACACCAATGGTTTACCCATCAGCTGAAGAATGAAGCTGATGACAACGTTTTTTCGTGTAATTCCTGTGACTTCGAAAATATTATTTTTCTCTTTATGAAAAGCCTTGACAATCGGTTCCAAAAATAGGATAACTGTCATATACAGCTGCAGGATCCGCCGAATGGTCTCATCACATTCCAGTAGTTTTTCTTCTTCTGATCCAATATTGGTCATATAGTCAGGAAGTCCAATTGCTTCTATATACGAGAATATTGAGTTCATGCTCCATTCTAGAGAACGCGCTTTGTTTTCGTTTAGGCGCAGTAGCACAACTTGTAGCACCTTCAGCAAGCTAGTGAAGATTTCATCGTTTTTCGTGAGCTCCACTCTTTGCAATAGTTCAAACAGAACCTCTTGTGGGACACATTTTTCAGCGATGAGCTTCAACAAATTTTCACATGTCGAAAACAATTTGAAATCATCTCGTAGGTTCTCTTCTGTCAGATTGTCAACCAAAATAGAAACTATGTCCATGCTTTCCATGTGCAGCAGTGCTTCGTTTTTATTATCTCGTAATAACTTAATCACATCTTTAAACTCTCCTGCTTTCAGCTTTGCATGTACAAGTTTAGCTAAACTCATATTTTAGGTTTACGCGCAGCGAAGAAACAGATTAAGTTGAATACACAAGAATTCTTCAATAGAAAAATACAGCAGCTCTTCTGAATACAACACTATGAATAAAAAAACTTATAATCTACAAGTGAAAGAAATCCAAACTTTGTGCATAACAGCACTCGCGAAAGTACATCGAATTGCAGTCGCAGTTCTTTCGTACGATGTCTATACCAAGTCGACAAGTTTTATAAGTTTGGGAAAAACTTCACAATCCACACCATATAAAACATATTCAACAAAACATTAGCGAAACTTGTGAAATTAGCTGACAGTTCTTTTCCCCCGACCCAAAATACGGAACTCATAATGTTATGACTTCATAATTTATCTCAGACTTTTGTAGTACATTACCTTTACTATTAATGCGCTTCTGCAGCGAAATTATTTTCCACAGTGAATTCATTGTTAAGCACAAGCACTCACAAGAATATTTTTTAATTTTCGGTATCACAGCAAAAAAATGCTTAAATTATCGCTGAGGGTAATGAAAGAAAAATAATCAGGGGAACATGTGAAAAGGGTCTAACTCAAAACGTAAACAATAACTTGGATCGTCGGTTTCTTACGAATGAGAACACACCCACTTAAATTTACTAAATCATTATGATAGAAATGTTTGTCCTATAAGCTGGTGTCGTCAGATTCCATGAGTGTGTCGTCATTCAAGAGAAATCGACGTTCAAAGTCATTGTATACGTTTCGAGTTATACCCTTCTGACATGTTTCCCCTGTAATGCAGCTTTGAACGTCAGAGTCAGAACCTGACGGGACTAAAGCCCTACACGGTAACCGCAAAATACCTAATAATGACTAAAAAGTAAGCATTTTCGAGGGAGACTGGGGGGACTACCCATTAAATGAGTAAAAATATTACCCATTGATGAGTATTTGTTATTCAAAATGAATACTTTCTTGTTTTTATAGTTGTAATTACTCATAAATGCGTAAAATTTTACTCATGGGTAGTCCCAGTTTCCCTCGAAAACGCTTACTGTGTGTATATTTTGCGGTTACCGTGTACAGTAAAAGTACACGGTGTTTCGTGAAATCCCATTTGTGGGTAAAAAAATACCCATTTTCAAACTAGAAATGCTCAGAGGGAGAGATAGGCGGAGAAAACAAAATACAATTCGGCAGCAGGGATCCCCATCTAAATAATCTTGCAACCCTTGCTCAAACTTAGCATTTCACATGACTTTTACTTTTGATTCGATTTACCTGTAAAGTGCTGTAACTTAATAATTGAGGAGGCTCGGTAGCTCAGTGGTTACCGTTTCTGCTTATGCTACGTTCAGACTACAGAGTTATAACATGTTATAGCGCTATCTTGATGGTGGTTTCTGTGTTGCAATTATTTGACAACATGTTATAACTCTCCAGTCTGGACAGCGTTTTACTAAGCAAAAGGTCGGGAGTTCAATCCCAGGCCCGTCCCCTTCCTTGCAATTTTTCACTTTGCCTTATTCTATACCCACTAGATTATAATGAAAACAAATTCTTCTTTAACACCGATCGCATCACTTACCACAGTGTGGGTCCTGATCTAAAAATAGAAATTGGATGAGTGCGAGCGCGTGTGTGTGTGTGTGTTTGTGTATTATAATCGCTCTACCAAAAACGATCCCTGCGTGTGCGTGCAACCTTTCCCCACATCCAACATCCCAGTGATTTCTCGTGGAAGCGCAGAGGATTTCTCAGTTTCCTTCACAGCGAATACCATGTCAATACATTCCTTCCCATTCCCTAGTTGACCTGCATTAAGACACGACCGGCGCTGGTATTGCTAAATATTAGATCTCCAGTTCTTACACATTGAGGATGAATTTTAGTCCCAAACATCATCTGTTGGTTCACCGTGGGCGGTCAATCATGCTTGATTTACCTGTAAATTAATAATTAATCATGTTTTGTTGTTTTTGACATCATCCACATGCAGAGGGCCAGTCACTTTCGAATGTATGGGAATGGTAGGAAACCATTTGGAAATGCATGAAAATTTTCAGTTTTTATTCATTATCGTCTTTATGGGCAGTTTTAGATGCACAAAAATTGCACGAGTACATTACTGTGGTGATAAGGTAAACACTCGTTTATTTGTTTCCTTCTGCGAAAGCATGTTTAGTCACAAATCGTGGAGTTTCTGATATTCTCCATACTGCAAAAATGATTTTCCTACCACTGAAGGAGCGGTATCTCTCAGATCTTCAGTATAGCTACAACTCAAATCATATAATTAATTCATTTGGCTCAAAACATTCTCTCCGCTCATCTCTCCTTCTATAGAATTTCTATTTCAAACCATGTATGCAACTGTCAAAAAATGGGGGAATTTGGAAATCATAAAATAGGTGAAAAAATACCTATTTAATGAAGCAGTTCATGATTGCATAATGGGTATATTTTATCGTCTCATCACAGAGAACAGACGTTCAAGCTCGGTCAGAAACTTGTGTAAAATAAGTGGGAACGTCGTCGTTACGTGGTGTTAGCATCCTTACAAATCGTAACGGCGACGTTTCCACTTAACTTTACACAAGTTCCCCCATGTACCCATTAATGAGTAAACCATAGTTTACCCATTAAATGAGGAGGGGCACTTTTAGCGAAAATGGGTGTTTTTATACCCATTAATGGGTTTTCGCGAAACACCGTGTACACGGTGTTTCGTGAAAACCCATTTATGGGTAAAAAAATACCCATTTTCAAACCATGTATGCAGCTGTCAAAAAATGGGGGAATTTGGAAATCATAAAATGGGTGAAAAAATACCCATTTAAAGAATCAGTTCACGATTGCATAATGGGTATATTTTCTACCCACTAATGGGTGAAAAAACACTTGGAAATTTTATCGTCTCATTCCGTCACCGACCATTGGGAATGCAAAAAGTTTCTGTCCGCTTTTTTTAGCAAAAATGAACGATCTCTGGAAAAGGTTAGATTCCGAAACATTGGAGAGACTTACGGATAAGTCTATACAGTTTTATCCAATGTGGTATTATAATATCTCGTGTTATATTTTTTTTCGCTTCAAATGCATTTATTCTCAATGTAAATATTAGAAAGTTTTTTTTTATATCAACGAGGACCAGCATCCTCCATTTGAAGAAATGGGTATTTTTTTACCCATTTTACGAAAAACACAATTCAAGAAGATGGGTAAAAAAACACCCATTTATTGACAGATCCCTCATTTACCCATTAATGAGTAAACCATAGTTTACCCATTAAATGAGGAGGGGCACTTTTAGCGGAAATGGGTGTTTTTATACCCATTAATGGGTTTTCGCGAAACACCGTGTATGGACGTCTGTTCATGTTTACCCAAAATTAGCTGCTCGTACACGGTAACCAGCGTAAACACATAAATGAGTAAAAAAATACACATTTTTCATATTTATATGCAGCTGTCAAAAAATGTGTAAATTTGAAGATCCTAAAATGTGTAAAAAAATACACATTTTAAGTATGTAGTACCAGTCAAAAAATGTGTATTTTTATACTCATTAATGGGTAAAAAAAAACTTCAAACTTTGCTGCATCCTGCTTTGTTTACGCATGCCATTTGCTAAATAGTGAAGAACAGTAGGAAAGTGGAGGAACTACGGTCCAAACTGGACAGTGCGCAACGATGGACATGCCAGAGGGTAGGTGATTTAAACTTTTTTCATAGTTTTTAGTTTTAGTTTAGTTTATATACTTCATATACTGATTTTTGTTTTTCTACCCTTGATTTGTTTTCCGTGCTGAGCACCAATGCTACCGACGCCTCGGCGCGATCAGAGATGTTATGCCTCAGAACATCCCGGCAGCGTCGACTGGGATTGAACCCCTTTCCTGCTGGGGTGAGAGGTAATCACGTGCCGCTACTTATTTTTGCATTTCTTTTTTTAATAAAATATTATTGTATTCGAGCAGTCTTTATTTTACCATTGACACAAACAAGAAAATTCTGAAGTTAATAAAAAACCTTGCGCACCCATTATATTTAGGTTCTAGAAATGATTACTTTTTACACATTTTGCTGTAAAAACCGTCCTTGAAAAATGTGTAAAAAATACACATCTTTTGACGTTTGCTGGGTTTACACATAAATGAGTAAACGCAGTATACAAATTTTATGAGTAGGCCCCTTTTTTCACGAAATGTGTGAAATTTTACACATTAATGTGTTTACGCTGGTTACCGTGTACGGAACTTCGAGGTTGAGTCAAAAGAACTCTAATTTGGGTAATTTTTTATTTCTTTGCACACAACAAATGAAAATTACCCAAAGCTTGAGTTTAAACAACCCAAAATTAAGTAAAACCATTATAGTATCCCATTGGGTAAAAATGAATGTGTTATGATGGTTAATTTCAACTCAACGCTTGATTAATACATGTATTACCTAAAGGTGAGTAAAAAAAATGAAATTTACTTAATTTACTCAACGCTGAGTAACTTACTATAAAGCTTGTGTTGAGTGAAAATAACTCTGAGTTGGATGAAAAAAATGCTAGTGCATAAAATGAAGTTCATTTGCGTGCGACGTCCGTCATTCCCTCGTAAGTCGTAGATTCATTACATAAAACGCGAGTGGTTATTCATCCTATTATAAGCAGCAGTAGAAGATGGTAAAAGTGTCCGACGAGAAGAAAATCTTTATTTTTCGTGAATCTTTGTGCTTCACTGGTTCACCTTTCTCGTTTCGCTTGAGTTTGAACACCCATTTAGACCCTATGATTTTCCGCCCTTCGGGTGGGCGCACGAGTTCCCAAGTTCCACTGCGCTGATGGGCATGCAGCTCCTCCTCCATTGCACGACACCACTGGTCATCTTCCATAGCTTCTCTGAAGCTACTGGGTTCTTCGAAAGCACAGGATGCCTGCTCAACTGCACAGTGCAAGACATAATCCCCGAGGCGTCGTGGAACCACTCCACGGGTTGAACGAGTTGATCGCCTTGTGCTTTCCTGATCTTGATCCTCTGCCTCAGGAACTTCGTAGAACTCGTCACACTCAGATCCGTCACTCAACGGATCACGATCATCAGATATCTCCTCTTGTTTCGGCAAATCGATTTCTTGCTCCTCCTGTTTCGGGTCCGCTCTTTGACATCCGAAATCACTTTCGATAAACGCAGGAATCTCCACACACGAAGACCCGTTACCTAACTCCAGAAAACGAGCGTCTCTGCTGATAGTTATCGAGTCAGTTTCTCGATCAAGGAACCGGTACCCCTTATGCTGCATAAAGTATCCAACGAACACCAATCTTCTTGCTTTGCTGTCCATCTTTACCCGTTTTGACGCAGGAACGTGCACATACGCCTCACTGCCAAACACGCGCAAGTGTCCCAATTCAGGCTTTCGTCCCCACCACAACTCATAGGGAGTGAACGGCGCCGGTGGTGTAGTGGTAAGCGTGATTACCTCTCACCCCAACAGGCCTGGGTTCAATCCCAGTCGGCGCCGCCGGGATGTTCTGAGGCATAACATCTCTGATCAC